TCTACCGTACATTACCGTACATCTACCGTACATTACCGTACATCTACTGTACATATAGCCTCTTGTTCATCAGGGTGCACCGCGTTTTTTGGGCACCGGCCACAACTTTTTGGACGGACCACCGCGATCAAAATTTTTGGACGGACCACCGCCATCAACTTTTTTGGACGGACCGCCGCCTTCAATTTTTTGGACGGACCATCGCCTTCAATTTTTTGGACGGACCACCGCCCAGCGTGTTCCTAACACACAGATGTAGGTCATTGTGTGTGTTCTGCTTTTTCTTACGCGCTTTGATGGTTTAAAGTAGAAAGTGTTTTTCTTTTAGCGCGGTGGTGGTCCACCGAAGAAATTCGAAGCGCATTTTTTGCTTTTTTTGTTTTGCTTTTTGCTTTTCTTCAGCAAAGCAGCGCGGTGAGTGTTCTACATGAAAAACCCTTGCAACAGCAGCGCTTTCCCAGGTAAAAAGCATAGTTTTTCGATGTCCTTCGTTTTGGGCCTTGCTACTGGGAAACCTGAAAAAACATAGTTTTTGAACATCAAAAATCACCAATTAGAACTTATAGAACTTAAAAATAGTTACATTTAAGTTACATCTTACTTACGAAGCCCTCCGGCTAACTTAGTTTTAAGTAATTTGTAACTTCACCAAGTAAGTTACAAGTGTTTCAACTAGGGGGGCCCATCTTTGGAAAATGCTAGAAAAGCCTTTGAAAGTTCCATAGGTTAGCAAAAGGTTACCAATTTTTGGGAGAAATCTGGGAACCTAAAAACAAGAGGAAGCGCTAGAAAATTCTTGGAAAAGCATCCAGCCGAAAACGTAACAAAATCTAGACAAAGCCTAGAGCATTCCTAGGAAAATGCCAGAAAAGCCTTTGAAAATCTCATAAACCAACAGAAAACGTGACAAAATCTACGAAAAAGCAAGGGCATTGGCCGGGACCATGCCGCGACCAGCCCGGGATTCGAGCCCAGGACCATTTTGGACCGTGCTTATTTTCCCGCGCGGGTCGAGAGGGTGCCCCAAGATGTAAATCAATTGGGATGGCAGAATCTTGGACAATCCAGGTCGCCATCAGGTCGCTTTCCCGTCAAATTCCGTAGCTATCAGGTCGCTTTTAGGTCGGGATTTCGTCACTGCAACAAGGGTCCGGAGGGGTAGGGGAGGTAAGGTCTAGGTCTAAGGCTAAGGACTAGGTCTAAGGCTAAGGATAAGGCTAAGGCTTAAGTCTAAGGCTAAGGCTAAGGCTCAAGGCCAAGGCTAACATCGACAGTCACGCCTCACCCCACGGTGTGGGGTCGGCGGATTCAGTATAGGCCTTCCATCAACCTATCGTTAGAGACACAACTAATGGTTCAATCAATGGTTCTATGTTTTTCACCATTGTTGTGAACAAAGTTCAGAAGGAGTTAGACACAGAGTTGTTTCTCAGTTTTTGATTTGGAGTTAGACCTGGTTTTCCTTGGTCTGTTTTTGGTTTCATAGATGGATATAAGTAGATGAGGAAGAACAAAAAGAGGGTCCATGCAGAATACCTGGACAGGATCCTTGTCCAAGAGTTCGTTCCTGTAAACACCAAAAACCTGAAGCTGCTGCCTTCTTGTCCGTGCTGTAACATACTTGGATAGTTGGTTGGTGATCCATGATGACTTTTCTTTCCTGAAGCTGATATATGGGCGCGTTGAAGGTAGGTTTCATGATCGAAGCACTGCAGGATCTTCTGGGGCAAGCAACCCTGCAGCAATGATGTGTCTAGCGGTGCCAAGAACGGCCACATCCGAGTCTGGCTCTCCAGCTCAGTCAAATGTGCCAAGTCGCTTGATGACTGGATCTAGAACCCTTCGCGAATTCGCTGCTTTCTGAAATTTGTATTTGCTGGTTTCCTGCATTTTGTCCAAGTTCCTCACCTCTGAAATCCAGAGTCTATCTCTTTTTCTCAAAGATTGCTTGCGCTGAGGATGTGCGCAAAGACGACCCACCAGAGGCTGTGGAGGATAGCTGAGTCACCCTGTACGTTGTGTGTGTTCATGCAAAGTTTGCTAGAACCTCAGTGAGAGTAGTCCTGAGTTGCTTGCTGCAAGCCGTTTGGCCCCGCACGCACGTGCACACACACACATTGAATCAAATGTGCAACAAAGTGCCGTGCCCCGCAAATGCAAAAACAGACCTGTTGAATGCAGATCATGTTGAATGTCATCAACTGTTTGACAATGTGCTTGCTTGCGGGTTTGACAGATGCTGGAGATTGGTAGGTGGAGCTGGCTGGCCCAGTGCCGGAAGGCAGCAGCCACATTTTGGCTCCTTGGTGCAGACTAGTACCAATTAAATTAGGTTTGCCCGGCGCTTTTTGAGCGTTGGCACTACATGGTACTACAAAGTTGACGGATCCGACCGAGCTTGGACGCTTGCGTTTTGCCAAGCTTCGAAGCTGAGCGGAATCCGGAGTTGCCGAATCATCCTTGTGTCATTCTGTGTTGTCCAAAATGGTGCTTCTGCGCCACTCAGCGTGTCTGCAAGAGCCATGTGGGTATTTCCGAGGTCTTTTCCAACTCGCCCAACCTTGGCGAGTCAGATTTTTGCGTGTCGACTCCTTTCCAGGACTGATGGATTTGTTTGGAAAGAGCCAAAAGGAGGTGTCCCCATAAACCTTCATGCTAGCGGCTGCTAGCGGGTAGTGAGTGCATGCAGCATGCACACTTTGACAGCATAAAATAGAAGATAATGATGCAATTCCAGAGACAAGGACGACCAGTCAGCAAAATCCGAGAAGGAGCTTTAGAAGGCCGGGCCCCAAGTTGGTCAACGGATGTTGTGCCTTTCGCAATCACATCAGTATCATCTTGGAGTGGCAGTTTACTTGGGTTCCATTCGCAAAGACTGGTATTTGTGCTTTCATGAACAGACTCAGCGAAACCTTACAGTTACATCACCTTGCTTTCCATGATTTAGCAGCGTTTTGGAGCACAAAAGCCCAGAGTTTGCTTGCCCGAAAACCTTCGCAGCTCGCAAGCACCTTGGATCCATTCAGAATGTGATGTATGTAACGGTACGCCAAGCACGACCGCCCATGCTAGTTTGCCCATGAGGTCCAGGCCAAGGATACTTTTGTCAAGATCAACCAAACTCAAGTTGTTTGTGGTAAAGCTGAGTGTACAAGCCCATTCAGGTCTCAAGCTTGAATGATTTCAGCCTTTAGGCAGTTGTGCTCAAAGCAGGAGGGTAGATATCAGGAAGCCGCGTATTGTATGACAGTCTCTTGCTAGCTCAGCTCAGGCTATGCTGCATCGCGGCTTTCTTTTGCTTACTCTCCACCTCGTGGCAAGTAAGGACGCAGAAACTTGGCCGGCACTGCAGCCAGGTGATGATATCAGTTTATTTTTTTGACTAGACCCTATCAGGAAAAGGTCAATTATATCGAGCGCATGGCCGGGGATGCGATACGATATGCTTTTCGCATCTTTTCGCCGGAACATTCACCTGTCTCTGTGCTCATCCGCAGGACAATTGTGATGCTGGTAACTGCGAGGACTGTCCCAAGAACTGGAGGTGTGTGAATGTACGGACTGTTGATCATTGAAATCATAACTTAACTATTGCTGTAAACATCCAAAACAACAGACACCTTCACTGAAACCCTACATGGGAGATGTTTGTAATCGACGCTTGCCAGACGACAATCTTCAATTTCGGTGTTCTTCTCTTTAGGTCTTTAAGACAGATTCACAACTGGGCCACCCCATGAGGAATTTATGATTTCCGTGAGTGACTTGCAAGGGACAAAATGGACCAGCATCAGGAGGGATCGGTCCTCCTGCAGAAACAACGCAAGACTGGTCTCGAGCATGTTGCTAGGCAGCAAAGCAGCCATATGACATAACACATATAGTTACATATATGTATATGTATATATATAGACATATGCATAACAATCTTATATACCTATGTCAGAAAAGGCAAGTTACTTTTAGTCGTCGAAGCGTTTGGTGTTTGCCACCAAGGAGTCTATGACTGATTCAGATGCGCGTACTTTTGCTCTCCAAGTGGTTGGAGAATCGGCTTGTGCACACCTCGGCACAGTAATTCATGAAACAGTCAATTTGCAATCAACATGGCACCTCCTCAAAAATGCACTCCCTCCGTCCGTCCAGACTGTAGACATGGAGAGATTATCATCATGTGTCCTCTACTTTACTGTACAATTCTTCCCAGTGTTTGTGTGTCAGCCAAGCGGGACGTAGCAGGCTCTCTCCACCGGGAAAGCAGGATTCAACTCAAAGGGAAGACTGGCTTCCCCTTCAACTGCAGAGATTTTGTATGTAGCGATGTCCGCAGTAGAGAACAAGATCAAGTATTCTAGAGACATCGAGCTTTCATTGCTAGATGCAAGCAAGCTGGGCGCACTCATTCAGCTACTTTGAGGTCGCTTTTTAGCGGCAAGCAACGACACCAAGCAGCAGAACCGGGGGAGGAGAGACAACGGGCTGGGTCGGGCACTTGTCATACGATGATCCACGGGTTAAGTTTCCCTAAGAATCTGGGAACCAAATGTAACCAAATCATCAGTGCGAGCGCTCTCCTGCGTCCAGTAGCTAGTTGCGTCTTTACTCCCTTACTTCATTAAGTAGGACCGGGCAAAAACGTACAGTAAAACATGTGTTTCATCCTGCGGGGACCGTGCTTCACTGAAGCCGATGGAAGGTCTCCAAGCGTTTCTTTTTAATTGCATAATTGGCTGGTCCCAGTTGCACCTGCGTCACGATTGAGAAAAAGCTGCACGACAAATTTGTCGTGTTTGGTTCAAAGTTCAAAGGTTCAGGCATGGACCGTCATTGACCTGTTTCGAACTGTTACCTGCGCTGCAGGGAACTTTGTGGCAGCCTGCTGCAGACGGACGCACAGGGCGCACGAGGCCAGTTTGACAGCGCCGAGGTCTAGCAATGGGAGTCGTCACCAGCACCAGCACCAGCAACATCACCATCACCACCAGCAGCACCACCACCAGCACCAGCAGCACCACCGCCACCGCCACCACCACCTACGAAAAGTCACTCCAAGTTCAACCCAAACAAAATTAACAACTATACTTTATACTTCTCAATTTGTGGATGAACTTCGGATGAACTGCGCCAAAACACAAAGGCTGGGGGTCTTCCTATTAAAATACACACCCCTTTGTTGGTCTTCAGTCGAGCAGGCACTTCTCCTCGACATTCCTTGGCACAGAGTCCGGCTCCCCAAAGGAGGGGATGTTCCGACTGCGAGAAATTCCGAACCTTTCAGGGCTGCTGGATCCAGGGTTCCAGTTCTAGGCTTTTGAGTCTACTGGCCTTGGCCAAAAAGCCTGGAATATCTAGAACCACCACCTGAGAAGGCTTCTGAAATACCTTTGGTTTGTTTCAGTTCATTTCCTGAGAGAACACTGGGAACACTCAAACTCCTGCGCCGCTTCCTCCCCCGAGCTGGGCTTGTAAGGCCACCATTATGGGCCTTCGCCACCACCATATGATACTCCGCAACCATCCTGGCCAGGAGGTTGCAAACAGCGCCTGTGCATTTCTTTTGGCATACCTTTGTGCTTGATTGTTCTTGTATGTGTTGTTTGGACAATAAATAACATAAGCAGTTCAATCCGAAGATGATCAGAAACCCTCAAGCCACATTGTCACATGCCATACTTCAGGTACTGTCAAGTCTTTATGGGCACCTGCCGTGAGCCCAACAGTCCGATTGGCCGTTACTACTCGAGTGCCTTGGTAGTCTGAGCTGCTCTGAAAGCCCAACCCCCTGCTCCTGTTTGCAAAGATATGTAACGTATATAAATCAAGACATTTCTAAGGCCAGAGACATCTCAACGATCGGTTCTAGTTGTGTTTTTCTTTTTTTGTCCGGCTTTCTTGGTTTCCCTTTTGTTGGGGTTTGAGTCATTCGCTTGAGCCGCTTGAGTCTGTGGATCAGGTATCAGCGAGTGCCGCAAGGAGTGTGCCACCATTCCTGTTACGCAACAGAACGTTCAGCAAGGAAACACTATGGCCTGTGGCTTGGTACAAGCGTTTTCTTTAGTTGTATGCCTATTTTACTTCAAAGATGCTGACGGTTCTTGCAACTTTCAGTGACCTTCAGCATTGAATCATATTTATATCATGTAAAGAGGCTAGGAAGTATTTGAATACAAAGCCGGGCTGGGCAATCGACCTTGGCCATTAGCATGCGGGTTTTGGAGGAGAGACCCTGACTTCGGGGAATCTCACAGGTGCGCGAACGCATCTGCCATCGTGCGCTCTAATATGCACACATCAAAATCATAGTCTTCCTCAGGCAGAGCTTTTCACGCCGCCTTGAGCCTGTCCACAACATCACAAACAGCATTCCATTGCAACCACGTGGCTCAGCTTCAATTTTAATGGCGACGACGGCAAAGACGGGCTCAGGAGAGGCATTCCTCCAAGTTTCAGGCTTCACGCACGAGCACTCCCCCAATTCCCCCAATCTATGCCGATGCTTATGACTCTATTTGCTTGTGTCAATTAGAGACTGAGCCCGAAGCGGTAGATTCCACGAAAATATATGCTCCATCAGCCCGCTTGACCTGCTAGGCAACTTGTGTCCTGTTCAACATTGTGAACAACTTGCCCGGTCAGGTAGTGGCCGGTAGTATCCGGTAGTGGTAGGTCTATAGACTTCTGACCCTTTGATATGCCGGGAATGCCGGGAAATTAGCACTTCAGAGCCACTTGCCACATCGACGGCGGATCTGTCATGGTCAGTGCTTACCGCTTTTTTGAAAACAGATTATCTAATGACAGGCCATTTCAATATATTCGATATATATATAATTACATGTATAGTTATATATTGTGAAGAGTTTTGCAGTGTAGATCATAGGTGCATTGTATCATGCTTTTCACCCGCAGCCCGCTTTTGGATTGAGAGGAAACCGTTCGTATGGTAGCGGAGCAAGGATAAGGGTAACCCCCTTTGAACTCCAGAGAAAAGCCCCTAGGTCACAGGGTCTCGGGTGCGTTTGAGCCATAGATTTGGGGCCTTTGGAACCCAAACTGCTGACAAACTGGTGTGAACTGCACATTGTACACCGTACATTGTGTGAGTTCCACAATATTGTTTTGGGACTATGGATGAGATAAGAGAGATCCTGGAACAAGTTGCAAGAAGCACGCAAGCAGCAGCAACAACAGCAGAGGCAGTGAAGAACGCGGTAGAAGATAAGAAGGCAAGTACAACAGGTTGGTCAAAGCTGACCACAAAGCCTGGCTTGTTTGAACATAAGTCACAAGAAGAAGAGATCAAAGCGTTCAGAGAGTGGTGTCATGGGTATTTGAGAAGTATCTCAGTTCAGTGGAGCAAACCAGGTGCATCAAGTTATATGGATTGCTAGCTTCGTTGATGAGGGGCAGAGCACTACAGTTGGTTAAAGCTGTGGAGGACTCCAATGGGCTTGATGCCTGGAAAAGTTTACACGGAGCCTTGAAACCGACTTCAAAGGCGAGAGGATTAGCGCTTGTGGGAGCAGCCACTACATGGCCAGCATTTTCGATGAACAGTGCTCTGCAACCTCCGCTGGAAGAGGTGTTTGAAGAGACGGTCAAGTCAGGGATAGCATTTCAAGAAGAGCTGAAATCTGCAATTCTTTTGAGATGTGCGGGTGGGCAGCTCAAATCCTACTCGAATTGGACGATTGGTGACAATGTTCAATACTCAACCTTGACGGAACAAGTGTTGCAATCGGACCGTTCTCGGCAGAATTGGGCTACTTCAATGGTTGCAAGTAGCAGTACAGACTGCCATGGACCCATGCCTATGGCGGTCGATAGAGTTCAAAGATGCCAAAGGAAAGGGCAAGAAAGGTAAGAATGATTGCCAGAAAGGCAAAGGTAAAGATGCCAAAGGAAAAGGAATATAGGACAAGGAGACCAACAGAAAGGAAAGGAATGTGATCAGAAAGGCGAAGGCAAGGGCAAAGACCAAAAACGAAAAGGTGTGGCGACTTGTTACACTTGTGGGAAGCCCGGACATCTTGCTCGAGGCTGTTGGAGAAACAACGGTTGCTAGTGATACAGCCCATTCATCTTCAGGAGGAGCTCCAGTGACAACACATGCAGTTGCTCAACAACCATCCACGGTGACTCAAAAGAAGGTCTACACCAAGATCTTCAATCGCGACAATAAGAAGATGGAGCTTCTTAATGCCAAACGTTTGGTAAGTGAAGCAAAAGCTTAGGAGACGAGAGAAGCCCTCGGACGGGGTGTGGCTAAGATGCCAGATGAAGCCGCTCAAGCAAGGCATAGATTGACGCACCTACCATATGCCAATTGGTGTAAGGAGTGCGCTGAGCATCGAGCGCGTCCAGATCGCTATGAGAGGACAGATGGAACCAAGAGAGGAAGCGTCCCAGAGGTGAGCTTTGACTTTGCTACACCGCAGCACGAGATTCACAAACCAAGTCAGCAAGAGCAGTATGTTGACTAGTTGCAATTGACAGCCAGACTGGATTCATCCATGTTGCGCCGCTGTTTCAGTCAGACGTTGGGGTATTCAGCAATCACCTACAGGAAAGATAATGAGCCGACAGCGAGACAAATCCTAAAGATGTTGATCATTGCCCGTCACAGTTTAGGACTTACGACCAGATTGAATCCTTCGAAGCTGGGAGAACACTCAATTCTGTCAGAGAACACGGTTGAGAGGGTGAGGAAGCTTGCAGGAAGTTTCATTGAAGGTTTGCCATCAAAGCTTGGTAACAAGATAAGATCAGATCATGCACTTTGGACTTGGGCAGCAAGACATGCCAGTTGGGTGTTGAATCGATTTCAGCCAGTCAAGGGTGCCACTCCGTATGAGCTCGTCTGCGGCAAGAGTTACAAAGGACTTTTCGCGGAATATGGAGAGCCAGTTCACGGTCACATCAAATGCCTCGATCAATAAAGGAGAAGCGCGATGGCATCTATGCTTGTTTTGGGGATTGCCAATAGGCCAAGCAGACATTCCCCGAGAGCATGTTGAAGTTTAGAGATGAAGACGCTGAAGCTTTGATGGCAAAAGCTCTTGAAGGAGGACAAGATCAACTTGGCCAAGGCCAAGGTGGCGCGAGAAGACCTATATCATGTCGATGAAGAACTATCTACTTTGCAGAAGAAGTTGATGAAGAGGATTGGGGAGAAGAAGAAGAAGACGAAGTAAAAGAAGACGAAGAAGGGGAAGGGCCGGAAGGCCCAAATAGACCTGAACGCTTGTGGCGTGATGGAGAACATGAACCAGAAGAAAGCAAAGTGTATGATTGGAGAAAGAAGCCTTACCTTCATGAGGATGGAACAACAAGCAAGAGATGGAAGAGAAGATCAAGACTAGGTGCACGAGAGATGAATTTTCTCACCAGAGACTTGAGGTCAAGTATTGAAACTGCTACCTACAATCTTCTTGCAGAGAGTCAGTGAAGAAGAAGGAGAATGGGCATTCTCGCAGATACTAGGTTGCCTAGATGTGAAGGACGCTTTCTTGCAAACTCCACAACAGAAGCCTTTGAAAGTGAATCTGAGAGCAGAGGAATTCTTGGCGAAAACGAACTTACCCGGACAGAGAGTTGGAGTAAAAGCATCATTTGACTCTTGCACGTGGGCACCTCACTGAGGAACTCAATTACAAGTTCAGTGCTGAGTGTCCATGCCTAGGAAGAAGTGAGAAGAGCGTCATGTTGATTCATGTGGACGACTTGATTTTCACAGGTTGTTCCAAGTACGTCAATGAAATCTTTCTTCAATCGATTCAAGGCACAGGATTGACACCAGCGCGAGCAAAACTGAGATGGACTATGGATCCAAACAGAGAACCACATCCAGCAGATGTTGAAGGCATATGAAGAGCAGGTTGGAAAGATCAAGCTCCAACAGCTACCTTCAGACAATTCAGTTGAGATGGAGGACAAGTCAGAGATCCTGAGTGATGAAGAGAAAATCAGGCTATTCAGAAGCATTCTTGGTTCAGGTATTTACCTTTGTCAAGAAAGTTGTGATGTGGCATTTACTGTCAAGGAATTGGCTTCGAGAATGTCAAGCCCAACAACTATGTCCTTTCACCACTTGAAGAAATCCCTAAAATACTTGAAGAAGACAATGGGCTACTATTGTCTAGTGGTCGAATGTCTACAAGCAGGAGAAGGTTATCAAAGGAAGTTTAGTACGAAACTTCCGTGTTACGGACATTCAAGAACTGTTCATACACCACTCATCAATACACTACTCATCATACACCACTCAGCAATACATCACTCATCATACACCACTCATCATACACCACTCATCATACACCGCTCATCATACACCACTCATCAAACACCACTCATCATACACCACTCA